AAAAATAAGATTGTTCATAAGCTTCTAAATTTCGAACTATTTTGCACAACATCTACCAAAACACAACCACCATTAATAATTTATCATAATCCATCTATTTTCCAATTTGTTATTTTTTGCAACCTAACCCATTTGTGTAAATACTGGCAGGTTTTTTTAGGTTTGTCTTCATTAAAATCTACTAAATATGGTCTCAATGTTGGAAATTCAGTGTAGCCAATAAAATTTGAATTTCGGAAATCATTCTATATATGGTAATATTTAGATTAAATGAAATATTTTTTGTTTTGAATGTTTATGTTCCAAGCAAGAAAGCTTGTTTATGTTGTGTGATACAGGCTAATTTTCATTGCCCCATATATAACTAATTTTTCAGAAAAGAAAATTTATATTGATTATTGTTTCTATCTATAATCGTAGAGAAATAAAAAGTCTACAACGTATTTTAAGTTAAAATGCTACTTCCTAGTGTTTATTATTAACATTTACATATAATATGGAAAATCTTTTATTTTCAAAAATTTTAGGAAAGTTAAATTCATTATTGTGCCGATAGATTCATTTAATAACATGTCATCAAAGACGATTAAATTCATCATATTAACATACAATTAACACAATACCTTTTATTTTATAAAAACTAATTTTCTTTAAAAATTTATAATGATGTGTGACGAAACTTTTGACCTTAGTCATTAACGTAACTAAAGTATTGACTAAATGTAGTTCCTTGCCAGGCCATTTTAATGATTTGACTAAAGTAAAAACCCTTGACGTAAGTAAAGCCACTTACATAATTAAAAATACTTGACGTAATAAAACACTTGATACAGGAAGAAAGAAAAATGATTTTGTATCTTCCACTACTTTCCTTCGGTCAAGTAATGATGAACCGGCTTCGCGTGATGCTTTTCTTTGGAGGAATAGGTTCATTTTTATATCTCTGTGCTAGGGTTGATGTATATTAATAATAATTTGTTCATTCAACATCAGCTTCGAAGCCACATGCACACGCGTGTAACAGGATATATTATGTAATCGCGTAATATGTTTATATACTCTTGTAATATTTTACGTCTTCTCAATTCGGTAATTATCTGCCTCTAAAATTATTATAACTGATGATTAAAGGCAATTAATTAACATTTGATATTAATATTGATTGATTGATTGATTGATTGTTTGTTTGTTTGTTTGATATTATTATGTGTTAGTTAGTTATCCATAATAATTTTTTTAAAAATAAATATAAAAAGATTCAAACGGGGGATCCATCAGGATAAATAAAAGATTATCATACCAGTTTTTTAACTCGTTTACAATATAGTATAATTATTAATTAAAAATACAAGTATAATATTTTTAAGTGTAATCTAGAGAACACAAATACTTTTGCTACAAAATCATAAACGATCATTGGTAACAATACCAAGTATTATTATTTATTGTTGATGAGATGAAAGAAGATACAGTATTTATTACACAGACTGCTTATTATCATTAATGTTTCAAATGGACATATCAATTATAGTTATCAATAGCCACAAACCTAAAAACTTACCAATATTAGACAAATGGATCGGGTTAGGTTGCAAATAAAACTGTTAACTGTACAATATACAAATTAGAATGTGATTTGTTTATAGGCATGACGACTGCTTGATATATCATTTATGGATGTTATCAATAAAGTTTTGATTTATTTACAATTTATTATTTTTTTTTTGACAATATTTATATTATTGTGTTTGTTTTGGAGTTCACTAATTATAACGATATCATTTACTGGTAGTGGTTGTAGATTTCCGTGATTTATTTGGTAGATTAAATTGTTCGAAATTTGGAAGTCTGGAAGGATGGATATTGATTAAAAAAAAAGGGGGAGAAAGACGCCGATAAACAATATAATTTTTCAATGGAAAATCACTCTTCTTTATGGACTTTTAAATTTAGAAAGGTCGAGATTCGTCCATCTGGTTTCACCAGGGAAATAAAAAAAGGAAATAAATGAAGGAAAATATTTATTATGATTTTGTGTCCTCCGGTATTTTCTTCGGTTGCATGGTTTTAGGTGACGGAAAACTGGTTTCACGTGATACTTTCCTTTGTGAATAGATTCATTTTTATATCTTTATGAAATGGTTGGTTGGTTATGCATATTTTATATTATCGATAATAAGATTTGTCATTTAAACCCTGAAGGCTGCATTTATGTGTACCGTTATACATTATATAACTGCGTGTCATCTTCTCGACCTTCTAATATCATTATTGGTAAAAACGATTGATTATTGGCTTATAAAATTCTTTATTAGTGGTCGTGTTTGTGCAAATTAAAATAAAAATAGAACATTTATTGATATATTGATTGATTAATTGATTGATTGATATTAACCAAATATCATAAATAGTATCGTTATAAACTTTGTGTTAGATAATTATAGTAATTATTTTTTAAAAAAAAAGTTCGTTCTAGAGCGTAATGCAAAAGAAACGTAAACAAAATCATTAAGAACAACAGCACAATCAGTGGTAACAATATTAACTATTATGATGTATTGTTGATTATATAAATATGAAATGTTATGGAGAAGATATCATTACACAAGCTGATTGTTTATTATCATTAATGATTAATCAAATGGTATATTAACTATATCAATTATGAGATAAATTTATGAATTTTCTTGTTGTCCAAATTTAGTTTTCATTTATTATTCGTTACAGCCAAAAAAGAGAAAATTCGCATCAATAAAAAGAATATTAGGTTTTCCTTAGCATCAATCTTAGAATTATAAATATAAATGTTAATTAGTTAATATTAATGGTTCAATGAATGATTTTTTTTAGCGTCGATAGTTTCTTTATTGTTATTATAATATGAACGGAAAATTAAAAAAAATTTTACGTGTTAGTGTAGTATTATGAACGGAAAATAAAAAAAATTTTACGTGTTAGTATTATGTGTAACAGGAAAATAAAAAAAAATTAAAAAAAATTTTTACGTGTTAGTGTGTGTAATAGGAAAATAAAAAAAAATTTTACGCGGTTGTGTAACCTTATGAAATTATGAAACTTTGCATAGAAATAATTAAATTACGCCTTTGCTTGTCTACTATTTAAAATATCGTTATTGTTTTTCTTATTTACATTGATTTTTTATAAATGTTCTTGTAACAAATTAGAATTAATTATAATATTTATTTGAATGAAATTAGTTAGTATTGATTGTAATTGAATCCACCTAGATTATCTGGGCGTTATTTTTTTTGTGTTATTATAATATATACAAGCGGAAAATAAAAGATTGTAATTATATTATGATGCATCTTCGCTTATAAATAGCTTTATCGTTGTTTATTTTCATCTAATCATTTATGATTTACGTTAGGTTTTTCACGACACTAACAAATAATTATACTCAAAATTTAAAGAAAAGAAATTGTGAGAGGTATTTATTATATTTATTTTTTAAAAAGCTCAGCATTATTATCATCCTTTTCAAAAAAAATAGCACATAAATTAATTAAAATACCTATTACTTTATTAATTTATGACACAGAAGCTGCAATAGTAATGATTTATCAAGTAAAAAAGTGCTAATTTCACTGTTGAACATGTAGATTAAAATTCCAGCCGTTCATGAATAACACGCAGCCAGGTGATTTTCTTTCAAAAGTATCTCCATCCTCACCAACCAGAAAAAAAAGTAAAAAGAGTTGTAAGTAGGCATTCGGTATCGTAGATATTATAAAGAATAAAAAATACAAAGAAAATATTTTAATAGATGCTAACCATTCATTTTCATAAAAGATAATCATAATGATGAAGATTTTACAATAACAATAACAAATTTGTATCTCCTTATCCTTTATCATCATCATTTTCTTCACCGCTCTCTTTTGCATCATCGCCACCTATATTATTTTCTTATTATTCTCACTCTTTTCATGATCTATTGATCCATATACACTGAACTCTATTAATGATATTAGTAAATCAACACTTTAAGTGGACAAACGTGAAAAAAAATCGAGTTTAAGTTTATTATGATGATGATGACGATCAACCACCTTTTGTAAAATCTTTTATAATAATATATAATGTAATTTTCCGTTTTAGTGATAATGGTTTTTTACTGCTAATAAAACGATTTTAAGTTGTTAATAGTAAATAGGTTATGGCACTTAACTTACTGGCTTGAGATATCACCATTATTAAAATCCTCTCGAAAGTGTATCCATCATTCAGTTGCCTAGGATCAATATTAACAAGTTGCTATTCAATTATACGAAAAAACATTGTAACAAGTTCTTTATTGGTTTGAATGAACAACAATTATAATCTAACTCCCCCTATACCAACGGAAGAAAATGACTACCAAATATATCTATTTTCTATTACAATAAAATGAGTGTAATTCAACTTCTAAAAGAATATTTTTGAAAAAATCCATCGCTCGTATTTCTTATTTGATTTAATAAGCGGTATGATTATATAATTACCAAAAATCAAGCCAATTAATTTTGATACAATACGAGCACAAACACTAGCCAACTCGACGACAGATATAATAGATGATTTCAATAGAAACGAACACGTCTCTGGAAAAATGGTTTTTACGAAAATGATGTCATCTTTACAATTTCAATTATCTCAAAAATTATTATCTGACGGTGGATATTTTCGTAAGCTCAAAAGGATCTCTGTAGAAAGTTACATATAAATACTTAACTCGATTTTGACCTGGGCCCAGCGACACGTTTCTACACAAAAAGTTCCAATCATAAACAAATTTGAATAAATACCTATCCTTTAGACGCAAAGATCTGTTTAAAAGTTTGGCACTTGTATTACAAAATGGAATATGGAATTCGAAAAACGTTATGGAAATTATGGGTTGCAAGAATTTGGTTTGGCAGTTTTTTCGCCACTTTTCTGAAAAAACTGTTACATGAATGCTAGAAATAAGTCCAATTATAATATCCGGACTAACAGCAACTCTAGAAGAGAAGAGAACTTTAAATTGTTTGCTAAAAAAGAAAAATACCTACAAAGGATGAAATAAAAGAAATGGTGAAGAATTGTCACAAAATATGAATAATATTTGTATAAATTTTACCAAGCAATCTACTTTATAGTTCCCAAGTAAACTTGTCAGGCACGCTTTTATTTACATATATTCCATTGTTATAATCGGGGAGGATCTTGAGAAAAGGTAAAAATTACCGCAATAAAGTTTTAGGTATAATGCAAAATTCCAGTTTTTTGAATAAAATAAGATTGGTTTTTTTCTAGCATTTATTATATAAATTTGTTTTTCGTCGAATTTGGCAACAATGGTCAATTAAATTAATAAATTGTTCCCAATTAAATTTGATTTGCATAAAAAACCTGATTGATTAACCGATCAAAACTGTAAGATATTAATATACAAATATCCCGATTTTGATTTTGATTTAACACTAATTTTTTTTTTATCCTTTTGTATAATGTTTAATTTGAATTGAATATTGTTGTTGTTATTGTTGTTGTTGTAATTCCCTTCTTATGGAACAGAAGGATGCCAAGATTTGTTATTAATAAAAATGATTTTAAATAAACATCACTCAGATCAAAAGCATCATCTTCATTTTCTTTGACTACGAAAAAAAGTCACACCAAATATTTTGAAGAACATTCCTAATGAAAAGAAACTTCTCGCCAATGTTAAACGTAAATGGAAAAAAAAAACAGAAGAAGTCTTGTACAATGATATTACTAATCAAGTTAATAAAATAAATAATAAATAAATAAACAAATTTTTTCTTTATGGAATAAAGAATGCCAAACCTTGTTGTTAATAATTAATGACTTCATTTTAAAGATCCTTTCAACTACAAAAAAAGTAAAGCTAGTCATACCAAGGAACATTTCCAATTAGAAAAGCTTCTTGATGATGTCAAACATAAATGGGAGATAAAAACAACAATGTAATAAATATTACTAATATGTTAATGACAAAATCATAAAAAAGGATAGACTCAAGTTGATCGTGTATTGAATTATTAATTTGAATTCATTCAAACACCTATACTTAACTTTAACGGACTACAATAGAAAAAGAATAAGAACTCCGTGCTAATTCTAGTTTTTTTTTTTGGTATAAAGCGAATAAAATAAATGGTAAGTTGATCTGTTTAATTATTTTCTATTGTCGCATTATCTGTTACTAAAAAAAGTAAATTATAATAATAACGTTACCATTCTTTCAATAAATGCGAATTTTAACTCGTTTTTTTACATAGTAAATAGAAGTTTCTTTTGATTCTTTACAGAAACAAATAATGAGAAAATAAATATACTCGATTTCTTATAAATATATACAACTTTGAATCATAAATTATTTGATTTAAAAAAAAACATGTATAATATTTTATTCAATTCTTCATTCACGATCACTAAACAATTGGACCAAAATGATACTGAAATAGACTCTTTTACAAACTATCAAAATGATAATAACAACGACAGTGACGATGGTAATGATGATAACGATGACAATATCAATGACAATGACAATGACAATGACAATGACGACGATGATGATAATGATGACGATGACTATGATAATGACAATGATAATGACAATAACAATGACGACGACGACGACGACGACGATGACGATGACGATGACGATGACGATGACGATGACGATGACGATGACGATGATAATGATAATGACAATGACAATGACGATGACGATAACGATAGGACTGATTCTAGAGCTACAATAAATCTTATACATTATCGTAATGGTGATAGGGAACCAATAAACCCAAGCTCTTCAAATGAAAACACAAATGATGCTTACAATTTTTATGACATATTCGCAAATCAGCAGTTTGATTTCAACTTGTAATTTAATTAAGATAAGAATATAAGAACATCATATGAAAGCCTCTATATAAGAAAAGCATATATCTTGGGAAACACCTCCATCTAAGAACAACATTTTATAAGAATATCTTTAAAAAAGTTACTTACTAGTGTATTAATTTACAAAATTTTGTATTTGTATAAATAATGATAGATTATTTTTTTAAAATAGATAATTAAAAGTATTGTTAAATATTTTCAATATAAACAAACCATTTTTCTTTATAATAAAACTGTAATAAATATCCATAATTTCCATTATAATAAAAAAAGAAATATTTAATCCTTTATTTTTAATAACAAGTTTAAAAGCTATCGAATATTGGAAATCCATATAGCTATTAAAAATTTTCCATTATATGTATGTTTTCATAATGATGGCTAAAGTTTGAGGCTATTATTTAATATATAACAATTTTTAATCGTTGAGCGCAGATAAATTAATATTTATTTTCATTGGTCCTCAGTTTTACCCTGTGAAATATGTTACGAGTTGCAATTTATCTCTATTGTTATAATACAAGTGCTTATAATGTAATCGTCTGTTATCGCTTTATAATTTCTTTTATGTAATGTTATCATTGCGTGATTATTTTGGATTGATACAACATGAAAAAACAAAAATAAAAATTATAATATTTTACATAATAAATAAAGTTACAAGAAATTGTTATTAATAAAATTTGATACACTTGAAAAGGTAACTAACTGGCAATTATGAATTAAATCAAACCAGTTGAAGAAATGTAATATAGATCCATCTTCAGTTATTTATTCAAGAAACAAATATTTATGATAATAATTCATCATCATCAATTTCCTTGAAATGGATAATTAATACTAAAAATATTTGTTATACAAAAACTAGTAATAAGCCTATATAGAACTTAATTGTAAATGGTTTTTTTTTTTTAATAAAAAATTTATCCATTATATCATTGTAAATATTTGGAGAAAACAATAGTTTTTGTTTTCAAATTGTTTTATAAAGAAAATTTATTATTTGTTTGTTTTATTTATTGTTTTCCTGAAATGGCCTTTTTACAATCATATGAATATTTAATCAATCGGAAAAACTTGGTTAATCAAGTTAAATTCTACGGATAATTATTTAATTTGTTGGGTTTTTTGGTATATGTCGTGGAACATATGCCACGATTGGTAATTTTGAACAGATTGTCATCATAAATATTAATTTATTAATTAAAAAACAAGAAATTTCTCTCGAATATCATCCAAAGAAGAGTCGAGCGTAGCATAGATGGTATTTATGCCATTACTTGATTAATCTGCAATAATTAGAGATTTCATAGTTGTATAGCACGAGCTAAAGTATTCATAGTAACAGATGTTGTTTTCTGTTTACTGAAACTTTTTGACAATAAAATTAAGGTTATCTTAAATTTCAAATGATGTTTGTGTAAAAGAAATTGATATTGAAATAAACCATTCCGTTTTGAGGTAAAGTAGGTGTTGAAGTCTCTGATACTTTTTGGGAAAAACAAAGAGCACTTGCGCTAGTAAAAATAGGTTGAGATATTTTAATCATGAAAAAATTTTTGAGAAATAAATTGTGAAATATTTCACAAAAAATAAACAATAAAATAATAACCTTTTCATAACCAAATAAGTATTCATGAGATAAATCGCTTGTTCTGCGAAATAACTATTATTTATCCTTTCTATACTTAGTATGTGAAACATATACTTTCAAAAAGTTGGTCATATTTCAACCACCATTTTTCCATTATACGCAGTTATAGTTTCGATATTGGTGGCAATGTATTTCAAATTCATCATCGAATCAGATTACTTATATACAATGCGTTATTGTGACTCATTATTTATAAAGCCAAATAATCATCCAATTTCGATCTCGTGAACTTTAAATTATAAAATAGTTATCATATATACCTTATCAATATTTATAATGTAAATAAATAAAATATATAAGTATTTTTTTTTTAACGACGTAATTTTTTGTTGTGACATTTATTAATTTAAATTTGATTAAAAATATGTAATACATATAAAAATTTAAATTATTTACAAATGCACAATTCCCTCGTTTTGTCATAGAATGGTATTCGTTTGGAACGACTTGGCGTCGGATTATATAAGTATCATAATAATAGATTTTCTATCTTTAACTTAATTGATTACAATCACTGGATCTACTTTCCTACTTTTGTGAAAGTGAGTTTTGAAAAAATAGGGGGATTATATAATGTTTAAATAATTTTCACTTCATTCCCACATTAAAAAAAGATATTTAAACTTTGGTTGTTAATACCTTTTGTCAAAAAAATAAAAAATAAAAATAAAATAAAAATAAAAATAAAAATAAAAATAGTAGATTAAGTTATTAATTTATTTATTTATTAACCTAATTCATAAAAAAAATCATGAAACAAAAAATTTCAGAACCTTTTCTTTTGATTCTTGCGAAAATTTTTTGGATTTATTTTTTAAGAAAGTCTTCATCCTCAAGTTCTTTTTCAACTACAAAAAAAATCAAACGGCAGGCAAATAAATCCATTCGGGTTCGTAGATATTATGCAAAACTCCAAAGAAGAAAAAATTCAAAGAGAAAAATTATTTCAGAAATTTCAAAAGCTATGCAAGGATGGCAAAAAAAAAAAAGCCCAGAACCGAAAATAATACTATTTGACAAGAAATATCGAAAAATAATTTGTCTCGATAACCATAATATTAAAAGTTATTTGAAATGGAAAATAGTCAATATTCCAAATAACAATGATAATAATAACAACAACAACAATAACAAAATTGCATTTCCTCTTTCTTCTTCATCACAATCATTTTCTCTATCGTTCTCTTTTATATTATCGTCAAAAATATTATCGCCATCACAATTATTTTCTTCATCGTCATCTCATAAATTATCATTATTTTTATCATCAACTTTCTTTTTCCGTTTTCTCTCTTTTGGTAATATATTATTAATTCAGGATAATACACAGCATGCTCAATGTGCTATATCAATCCAAGAATTATACCACGAACAATTGTACCTGGGAGAGCCCAACCATCAACATATTGATGATAATAATACTGATATGATAGAAACTGAGAATCATGATGCAGTTGATCAATTTTCTACGACGGCAAGTGTCTCTATGGTGCCGGATATTCTACCATTCGAAACTTTTAATAATGATCTTGATTTTAACCCCAAATGGATTATTAATGGTGTTGATATAGAAACATCATCAACTAATAATATCACTTCAACTCAACCTCAATGTGGAGAAGTTCAAATCGATGCTTATAATCCTTACTATTATTATTTATTGTAATTTTTCATTTTATATTTCTATTTATCTATATTTCTTCCATTATTATTATTATTATTATTTGGTGTCCAGGAGACTTCGACACTTATAAATTTTATTTTGTAAATAAAGTTATTATAAGTGCTCTCTCTACATATAAATGGCAAAGATTTTTAAAAACAAAATGCCGATAAATATCTCCATATTCTTTGGGTTTCATGACTTTGTAACCATTGATTGATGCTCTTAAATACCTAATTTGATTCTAATTTAAAAATAAATTTAGGACTAGAAAAGAGTAGACAGTCAACAGCAAGTAAAAACCTTAAAGTAAGTAAAATTGTTTTAAAGGCCAATAAAAAAATAAAAACTCACAAAATAACATATGAATATATATTCCAAGTTCTTCACTTCAATTTAGCACCAATGTATATTATGTAAATTATTGATAAAACACAATAAACTCACGAATATTTTTTTATTAATATTGCGACTAATACTCGCAATTGCTTATTTTTTCAATAGAACCGTGACCGAGTAAAAAAAGAGCGTAATATTAGAAGCAGATAGAAAATAATATAATTTATTATAATGTAATATTGGTTTAGAATTTAAATGTTACTATTTTTAATAGATTTCCATTACTATTATAAAGTTTTCATGCATTTCAAAAATTTTGTGCGCTTATGTTAGTCTAAATTTACATACCACGAAAACTGAAGCTTTAATGTAGCCAAGAATCACTATTATGTTTCGTTAGGCACTATATTAATATATAAAATTCATAGGTTATTTGCATAAAAATTGACCAACAAAAATCATTTTTCTTTCTTCCTGTATCAAGTGTTTTATTACGTCAAGTATTTTTAATTATGTAAGTGGCTTTACTTACGTCAAGGGTTTTTACTTTAGTCAAATCATTAAAATGGCCTGGCAAGGAACTACATTTAGTCAATACTTTAGTTACGTTAATGACTAAGGTCAAAAGTTTCGTCACACATCATTATAAATTTTTAAAGAAAATTAGTTTTTATAAAATAAAAGGTATTGTGTTAATTGTATGTTAATATGATGAATTTAATCGTCTTTGATGACATGTTATTAAATGAATCTATCGGCACAATAATGAATTTAACTTTCCTAAAATTTTTGAAAATAAAAGATTTTCCATATTATATGTAAATGTTAATAATAAACACTAGGAAGTAGCATTTTAACTTAAAATACGTTGTAGACTTTTTATTTCTCTACGATTATAGATAGAAACAATAATCAATATAAATTTTCTTTTCTGAAAAATTAGTTATATATGGGGCAATGAAAATTAGCCTGTATCACACAACATAAACAAGCTTTCTTGCTTGGAACATAAACATTCAAAACAAAAAATATTTCATTTAATCTAAATATTACCATATATAGAATGATTTCCGAAATTCAAATTTTATTGGCTACACTGAATTTCCAACATTGAGACCATATTTAGTAGATTTTAATGAAGACAAACCTAAAAAAACCTGCCAGTATTTACACAAATGGGTTAGGTTGCAAAAAATAACAAATTGGAAAATAGATGGATTATGATAAATTATTAATGGTGGTTGTGTTTTGGTAGATGTTGTGCAAAATAGTTCGAAATTTAGAAGCTTATGAACAATGTTATTTTTGAAAGGACATTCTTCTTTATGAATTCTCAAATATTGAAGATCGAAAAGCGCCTTCCTCCCAGGTAAATAAAGAAAAGAAAGAAAATATTTATTATGACTTTGTATCTTCCACTACTTTCCTTCGGTCAAGTAATGATGAACCGGCTTCGCGTGATGCTTTTCTTTGGAGGAATAGGTTCATTTTTATATCTCTGTGCTAGGGTTGATGTATATTAATAATAATTTGTTCATTCAACATCAGCTTCGAAGCCACATGCACACGCGTGTAACAGGATATATTATGTAATCGCGTAATATGTTTATATACTCTTGTAATATTTTACGTCTTCTCAATTCGGTAATTATCTGCCTCTAAAATTATTATAACTGATGATTAAAGGCAATTAATTAACATTTGATATTAATATTGATTGATTGATTGATTGATTGTTTGTTTGTTTGTTTGATATTATTATGTGTTAGTTAGTTATCCATAATAATTTTTTTAAAAATAAATATAAAAAGATTCAAACGGGGGATCCATCAGGATAAATAAAAGATTATCATACCAGTTTTTTAACTCGTTTACAATATAGTATAATTATTAATTAAAAATACAAGTATAATATTTTTAAGTGTAATCTAGAGAACACAAATACTTTTGCTACAAAATCATAAACGATCATTGGTAACAATACCAAGTATTATTATTTATTGTTGATGAGATGAAAGAAGATACAGTATTTATTACACAGACTGCTTATTATCATTAATGTTTCAAATGGACATATCAATTATAGTTATCATGATGAGATAGTTACCTTCTTGTTCTACAAACTTAGTTTTCATTACACCGAAAAATGCATCTATAAAGAAGAATATATTAAAACTTGTCATATTCTTGTAACAAATCAGAATTATAATATTAATAAAAGTATTAATATTAATAGTTTAATAAATGATTGATTATCTTGCGTCAACAAAAGATTTAATCTAATTATTTCTGGGAGGAATTTTTTGTTGTTATTGTATGACACGAAAATTTTACGTGTGCACGACGTCTTTACTTGTATCATTCATTCATTCTTGTAATATGGTTAGAACAAATTAGAATAAATTAAAATTATTTGAATGAAAAAAGTTAGTACCAATTGTAATTGAACGATTGGTTATTTTGCGTGTGTATTGTTTTTTTTGGTGTTATTATGATACTAACGGAAAAAATTTATGTGGCTTGTGTAATATTATAATGCCTACTCACTTTTTGTTATTTAACGATGTGATGTAGCTTTCATAATTCACAAAAAAAAAAATTTAAAATCCAAAAAAATTGCACATTAAATTTTATCTGAAATATGAAATAATAATTTGTCAAAGTAACTATATCCCACGTGTAATCCAGACAAATGATTTTCTTCATTAAAAATTCAGTGTAGGGTATAACGTTACATTCCAATTTGAATGAATTTCTGCATTTTCTGTAGATTATTCCTAAATTTGTACATTAGGTATAATCAAACGCGTTGATATTCCAAACTTGGTTTAGTGCACCGATTTTGCTACAAGTCGAGCACAGCAACCAATCAATATAGATAAAAGACCAACTTATGTGTAATACAACTCCAGTTCTAGACTAAATTTATTACTTAATCAAAGTAAGATAAAAGTTTCGATTTTTGATTCTGATTTAGCCGGTTCATTTATATTATAATATTATTACTAATGTTTACACAAATAATTAAAATAAATAAATAATAGGTTTCTTCTTTATGGAATAAAAAATATGCCAATCTTACTGTTAATGGGTGATTTAAATAAAAATCACTCATATCGCCTTCACTTTCATGATCTTATTTAAACTAAACACCAAAAGATGTAGAAACACTCTGAGAAAAACTTTTAATGAGAAAAAAGTGCAAGAACTTCTCAAAGACGCTAATCGTCAATGCTGGAACAAAAAGAGGTCGATTTTCATAATAACAAGTAATATATTAATAATTGTGAAGAAACAAATTAATAATTTGTGACACCAATCACAATCAACTTTTAAGTTTAATTATTGATTTTATTATAACGTGATTTCAAGTGCATCTATCATTCGAACACACTATCTGGAGTAACAACACCTGTATATCAATAACTAACATAGAAGTTAAAAACCTTATAATTCCAGTTTTTTTTTCGGTCTAGAGCGACTAGCAGTTTTTATTAAGAAATATCATCACTGTTCTTTTGATCTATACGAATTCTGATTCGCTGGTTTACATAGATCATAAAGTAAATAGAACACTGTTCGATTCTTTTGGTAATGAAAATACAAATAACGAAAAAATGGATAAACTAAATTTGGATAATTAATTTTTTCAATAAATGTATATAATCGACTGTTATAAATTTTTAATAACATAACAACAATTAATATCATACAATTATAACATTTTTTATAACACACGCACGCATTAAAATTTTTCGAAAAATGAATAACATTAAAGCTGCTGTTTCTTTATCTTCGAAAAACAAAATTATGTCTGATAATATTGAAGTAAATGCTGAACAAGTTCCTTCAATCCATAAACAACACAATGATGACGGAGATAATAATGGTGGTGATGATAACGATAACGATGATGATGATGATGATGATGCTGATGATGATGATGATGATGATAGTGATGATAGTGATGATGGTGATGGTGGTAATGATGATGATGATGATGATGATGATGAAGGCAATAATGGTGATAAGATAAATTTTATACATTATCGTAATGGTGATATTGAACCATTAAATCAAAAATCTTCAAGTGAAAATACAATTGGTACTTGTAGTTTTTATGAGACTCACACAAATCAACAATTTGATTTCAAATTGAAATTTAATTAAGATAAGAGTCGTACCTCCATATAAGAACATCGTATGAAAGCCACTATATAAGAAGAGCATATATGTTGAGTAAAACGCCTCCATCTGAGAACAACATCTTTATAAGAATATCTTTAGAAAAAGTTAATATGCTCCCGAGAAGGTATTAATGGATGCTAGTGTAGTAATTTTATAAACATTTTGTATTTATATTTTATTAGATAGATAATTTTTTTAAAATAGATCATTAAGAGTATTTTACCTATTACGTAGTAGAAATTAATATTTTTTAATATAACAAACATTTTTTTTTATATTGTGATATAAAGCTATAATAAATATCCATAATTTTCACTATATGTAAAAAAAAATCAACTGTTTACACTAATATTATTATCTCTTAAACGGTCAGAGTATTCTTTAATGGAAACACAAATTAAAGTTTTGATCATTCTTATGGGTCAATTTAACGATCAGCAAAGTAAAAACAGTCAATCGACCAATTTTTAAAGAGAATTTTACAAAAACCACAAGGACAACAACTGGATTTTTATTTATAGATTAATTGGCTAAATCTCAAAGATCATTTTCGTATTAGAAAGTGATGTCCTCAGAAAAATTTTATCGGCTATCAATAGCCGATTAACCGTTTAAGGGATCCTTTATTTTTAATAACAAGTTTGAACATTGACAAATGTCAATAAAGTTATTATTAAATATAAATTTTTTTAATGGAATAATGTTCTATTTTACAACATTTATATATCATTGATATTTAGGAAGGTCTCTCTATCCTCAAAGAATAAAGAATTCTGGAAATTTTGATTATCTGGTGATTTCACTATCATTGCAATATATTTTGCGTTTAGTTTTGCTACTAATACTAATGCAAATAATGTAATTTGTTAATAGGATATGGCAATCTACGGATATTAAGTTCAAGCTATTTTGTTTAAATATAATTTTTATTATTCAAAATATCTATTACTATTGTTACTAACCGTTCGAATTCCATAAAAACTAATTGATTATTTATAATACTTTGTTGAAGGCCTGAATATTTATTATAGAATGGTTTTTTCATACCATATTGACAATAGCAAATGAAACTCATTATTGATCGATTGTAATTACAACTTGGTTTTTATAATACCAATCAGATCTTTATCCTAGCGATGTCCTGTAAAGAAAAATTGTTAATAAACATAAATTAAATTTATAGCCTAGATTCCCACGAATAAATACGCATGAGTTTATTTATGTTTATAGGTTTTGTACAATAGAAAAACGAATTTTCAATTAGATCTTGTGGATCAAAACTTTTTTATAAATTACTGAAGAACATCAGTAAAATTTTGGTATTAAATTTAAGTTTTTGTTTGCTTTTTTTAAAAAAGAGGTTTTAAAATTTCAACTTACTGAATGCAGATAAATAATCGACCTTCATAAAGGCAAAGATCAGATCTAAAGTACTTCGAGCATGTTTTGAATAACCTAGAAACATGCATTGAATCTTAATGAACTTAAAAGATGAATGGGATAAAATTCCTCGGAACGTTTTAATGAAGTATGTCTCAAAGAATTCAAGCCTGTATGGGAGAATAAAAGATAGCTAATTAAATTTTGAAAGTAGAGTTAGTATTAGTCAAGTGCCAATTTTCTTACCCTCTAAATAAATTTCACCGCCACTCAGTGTTACTCCGTTCATTAAACAGCTTAAAGTAGTAGATTTGCCAGTTAAAAGAATTCTGTGTCCAAAAATTTAATTTGTGCAATAAACAAAAACGATCTTTTGGTCAAACAGTGTACTTGCATACAGAACTTATTTTTCTTTTCATCCAAAGTAAATACAGAATAAAATCATGACTTTGGCTTTCTGCTAGCTTTACCTTGTGCAATATGTTACAAGTTGCATTTACTTTTGTAATGTAGTTGTTTGTTGTCGTTTTATAATTTCTTCTTTTTTTTTCAAATTTTTAAAATGTGATGATGTATGTAATGTTATTATTATTATTGCATGATTATTTTTGAATTGATGTAACATAAAAAAAAAATAAAAATAATACATTTACGTATAAATAAATTTAAAATAAATTGTTGCTAATAAAAATTTATATACACTTGGAAAGGGCTAACTGGCAATTATGAATTAGATCAAACTGCTTCAAAAAGTGAAAATCGTTGAAGAAATGTAAATACAGTTCCGTGTCCAGTCATTTTCTCAAGAAACGAATATTTATGATAATAATTAATAATTCATCATCATTTATTTTCTCTTGATTTTAATTAAATGGATAATAAATGTTTGTTATACAAAAATTAGTGCCTAGAACTTCATGTAAAAAACATAATTTTTTTTATTCATAGTAACATTTGGAGAAAACAATAGTTTTTGTTTTCAAATTGTTTTATGTGAAGTTGGTGTTACATAGTAATTTAAAAATGACCGGCTTTTTTATTTATTATTAAGGTAATATATAAAAGTCAATTTATAATAAAACAAGATTCTACTATATTGAGTTGTTTTGTTTTCATTGACTTTTTTATAAGCCGAACTTTCTGAACAGTTTCATGGCCAGTAATTACATAATAGCCTGTTTAGTAATTCAATTCAATGGGAATAAAATGGGAATATCAGTTTGAATGAATAAATGAATGAATAGTAAGAGCAAAGATTAATAGATAATGAGCCTTGCTAACAATAATTTATCTAAAGTCAATCAAATATTAAAGCAGTTGTTCCACGGGAAGTCGTGGAATAACAATATTAATATTTAAAATATCAATTCGGAAAATTATGCACGATACATGATCATAACTGGCACCTAATATAGCAGTGTTAGAATATCAAACTTAAATTTAAATAATACTGTGTCACCATTCACAGAAATTTATTGTTTTTCATTTTTAATTTAAATCCATTGACATAAAGCTCCGAACGAATCAATGAAATTCGAATCGAATTGAATCAAATTTGAATTGTGCTCTGATTCGATTCGATTCGATTCGATTCGAACTGATTTGAATGTTAAATATATATTTTTTGATTCGAACTGATTCGATTCAATTTGATTTGAACTGATTCAAACATATGATTTGATTCGAACTGATTCAACTTAACTCGATTCGAACTAATTATTGCGGCCGAAACTACGCTTAGTGGGCCGAAATTGCCAAAATTATTGGCCTAAACTTTGATGAAACTAATTATAATGGCTGGAAATGTGAGTTTTTAAAATAAAGTATATTGATTTAGATATTTATTATATGTATTAGACGAAACTATGTTTTTTTCAAAAACAGTTTCGGCTACCATCACTAAATAATATCCTTTATCAATTAAAAAATTTAAAATATACACAATCTTGGTTTAGCAGATAGTTTGGGTTTAGAAAATTTTTTCCAAAAATCCGTTATTATTATATTCAAACCTTGTTACAGCGGATTATAATAATAATAATAATTAAATTCTTATAATAACGGATTTTTAAAATTTATGCTTCACATATAAAAACATAAAATTTTTCTTATTATTATGTGTCCCGTCTATCCGTTGTGACTTTATCAAGAAATCCGTTATATCGAGAAAAATTTTATTATTATTATTATTATTATTATTATTAAACCACAATATATTATTATCCATTAAATTGAGGTACATTACATTGAGATTCATTTATTTAATATGACATAAGAAAAATTTAGAATCCGGTTTGAATCCAAATCGAATCGAATTGACTACAGATCGTATCGATTTGATTCGATTTGATTCGGAGCCTTACATTGACAGAACACGATAATACACAATAATGAATTTTGAAATCTTTCGTTTATTATAGTGCATTATGATCAATACAACTTGTATCATAAATATAAAGAATAATTAGAAAAAATTGTAAAATAAATAAATTGTTATTACACTTAATGTTGTTTTTTATTAATGATGCTATTAATTAGTGCTGTCAATTCAAACTGCCGATTAAATATATCTTGAAGTTGTTGGCGACTAATTACTATTTGATCATTTTGACAATCATTAGAATCTTCAGAGCTTAGATGAGTAATGTTCATGTTGTTGTTGTTACTGATTGGACCAATAGATATGTTCTGGTCATTGATATCATTATTACTGACACCCATTTGAATTACATTGCTTAGATTGTTAAAAGAGCCTTGTTGAATGGAATCATTGTGAACCAAATTTCCATGAGTGGAATCAGTAGAGTCAATGTTTTGATGAAGATTATTGTCTCCAACATTTGTTTGTCCATTTGAACAAGGAATAAGTCTAAGATGCTGATTATCAATACTGTTATTAATATTGTCAGAATTATCTTTACCCATTTTTATTATTTTTGAATTGTATGATTATTTTTTGGTGCTTTTTATGTTAGTAAATTGTTACACGATTCATTTTTGTCATGCAGTACAAATAGCCAATACTCTATCTCAAACTTAAATTTTTTCTTTGAATAATCATTTTTTATTAAAAAATTACTATTTTGTTTCTGGCATCATAGAATGTAAATAACTATGATATATGCTGAGCTTTTTATAGGCATTTAGATAAATATGTTTTATATAAATATGTTTTATATAAATATGTTTTAGATAAATATGTTTTAGATAAATATGTTTTAGATAAATATGTTTGCATTTACAAATATATTTACTCTTGCAACATTGCTTATAAAAATTATAAAATAAATTCTTCAACTATAAATTATTATGTTATTAATTAATATATACTGTATATAATATAAAACATGTTATAATTTTTTTGTTACTTTAATTAGATTATTATATTTTTGTTGTTTGGATTTTCCAAAAAATATCGTTGTTTTATTGTTTTATTTTAGTGGGAAAATTGCTGGCCAATGTTTGTCATAGTACAAGCCCAATTTGTAGAAAATGTTATTGTCAAAGAAAAAAATAATACCATATTTATATTAATAATCACTGTGAATACTTGCTTATTTTCATCATCCTTCGTTACACCTTCTAAAATAATAAAACCATTGAAGTAATCATTATCCATCATAATCATCAAAGCCATTATTATCAATTGCTTTATATTCATCTTCATTTCCTAGATGAACTTTATATTCATTATTGGTCTCTGTTCCATGTTCAGAATTATTTTCAAACCTTTTTCATATAAACAAGTTTTAAAAACATTTCATAATCAAATCACTCCAATTATGTTCTGATATTGCGGAAGAAGCGGGTAATTTTATTACTAAAATTGGAACATATTTTTCTCTAACCAAGCAATTGGATCTTAAGTTGCTTCTTTTAGTCACAAAAAAATTCGAACAAAACCAATCAGACTTGTCATGATATTCCATAATCTTGTTTTCCAATATTTGTTTCATCAAGAAGTTTAAATATTTCTTCAATTATATATGAAATACTTGAAGTTGATATTCTCAGATTGTGTGTCTCAGTCACAAATGAAAATTCCAAATATGTTTTTTACTTTCTAATCATCCTTTCACTAGGTTTCACTATATAATTTGTATAACTACACTCCCTAATAAACAATATTTCACTAAACAATATTAAACAAACAATACCTCATTAAACAAACAATACCTCACTAAACAACAAAAAAATAACAAAAGAAAATATTTATTACATGGAATTAGTATAAGTCCAATCCTTTATTTCAGCGCTGTCTTGTATTTACATGATATATTTATAGAAAAAAAATCAAACAAAGGGATTCTAAAGCTATTTATATATTTTCGCTCATCTAGTTTCCTTATTTTCAGCAAGTATTGATATAATCCTTTGTGCTATTAATATTATATTCTAATTAGAAGAATAATTTAGTGTTCTCTCTAAAGTGAATGAATAACTTTAAATAGAATTTCTGAATTCAAAGAGTTACATAAATTAAAAGTTGATGTTGATGATTATCATTTTCCCATTTTTATCACGTGTTCCGTTTGCAATATTTATATTTCAAAAAAAAATAATAGCAATTGCCGGTGATATAATTTTTCATCATAATGATTGTTTATATGTAAAGTCTCATCCTTGATGGGAATTATTGATTTTGAAATTTCATTTCCAAGAATAATTGTTGTGTGGACTATAATTATATAAATTTACTTTTGACACGATTTGAATTTGACTCACAATAATGTCAAAATAATTAACTGTACTGTGAGATGGTAAATTATGGCTTTTATATCCGAAGACGTCATCAATGACGCGCGACACGGCAAATGTTTCGTTCCTTTCTTGTGTTAATAATTCTATTTTAGGAAAATAAATATACTTAATAGTTAAACCCTGGGTAGTACGGGTATAAGTTCAATTTTACTTCGTAAAATTAAGCTTAAACTTGCATTATCCCAGTGGTTTAACTGATTTATCTCCCATCATTTATGTCATTTTATTTGTAACTTTTTCCATTATCAAGAAGATTTGTTGGGTGGTTAATAACAAATTAATTTATTCTTTTCTAAAATTTGTATATTTCATCACGCCTTGCGGAATGTTACAATGCCCCACAAATATCATTACTATTACTAAAAAACTATTACACGTTCTAATAACAATGGTGATTTTAATATTTAAAAATGGGGGATATTTTTTTAATTTAGTGATATATATATTTTTATATTTATTATAGGAACCTCTTCACTTTTTACTGAATTACTTTGGCAGTCTATAAATAGAAGGTGAGAAATCAGAATATGTTGTTGTTATTGCTGCCGCAAAATTGATTTTGGTGACGCAAAGTCGAGTTCAAGTCAGATGACGGTCAGCTTGTATATGAAACATATGTACAGTAGTGTAATTAATGCCGATCATTTCTTAAAATTGAATACCCGCTATGTTGAAAATAAATAGTTCTTTGAATTAATCTTCCTATTTTCCTATTTTTTTTTTATCTTCACATGCTTTCTCAAAATTAAAGTTTTCAATTTAGGTACATTTAATAAAATCATTAAATGATTATTTAATGTATCAATGTTCCTTAATTTATTCTTTAATCAAGTTTGTTTGGGAAAATGTTCTTTCATGAGGATTTAAAAAAGGTATAAAAAAATATATTTTAATTAGAAGGAATATGTATGTTTGAGTAATTAAAAGTCTTCATCTGTGTCAAAAATGAATTTATTTGATACTACTAGTCGGACGACATTTCACAGTGACTGATTTTAATATATGATCGACATGGCACGTTTTCTGTACAACGGACTTTGGCGAATGAATTGAACGTAAACTCATTATTAAACAATTTTCGTGCCTCTAAGTAAAAACAATCACTTGCCTTTGACCTTTAAAACGCGAGCTTTATGCATTTGTAGCTCTTCCAGTTATGGAGTAATAGCCTCTCAAAGAAACCTATGGTTTTTGACTTCGGAAGCTTAATTCTTTTCGGAAATCAGCTCTATTGAGATCGTTTTAGTATGATAAGACAGAGTACATTAAGAGCTTTCAGAAAATATATGATTCGGATGGTTTTCTTGGGGAAGGAAGAAATTAAAAGCAAAAAACGGTTTTATAAGTTATTTATTATTATATATAAGAGCTTTTTAACAAAGTTTTTTTTCGCATTACTGTTTTCTAACTTTTATTATATTAATATTAATAATGATTAGATAATATATGAAGGCACAATCTTTTAATTGGAGTTTCTACTCAAAAGGTTACAAAAGAAAAAATATTTTAATATATTGATTAATATTCTCAACTTAATAAATTATTAATTATTAATATAAATGATAATAATCTTTAAATTTAGAACTTTTGTTTATTTATTTTTATTGTGAAGAATTTTTAAGATAGTATGAATTAATGACAAAAATAAGAAAAACAAGATAATCTCAATTGAATGAACAGATAACAAGAAGGAAAACTATTAAATATTAGTATTAGGTATCAAAAATTATATTAAATGAATTTAATTAATATATTTATTAGATTTTTTTTTTTTTGTCAATATTTAATTGATTATTTGTTACATGTTAAAAATTAAATATGAAAAAAATATTTTAAATGATTATATGGCTAAACAATGTACCACTAAAGAAAAGTTTGTGATCTCACTGAGTTTTATATTAACATTATAATTTTTTTTTTTTTCATATTATCATACCAGTAATCTCTTAACTTTATTGTATGTTCATGAATCATGTAATTTAAATAGATCTTTCTATGTATAATAATTTTTTATTAATAAATGTAAATTAAATTGAATTATATCAGTTTGTAACTTCTGTCCTCATACATGTATATAAAAATTTAAACAATAAATGAAAAAAAAAATTTTTTTTTCAATCAATTTACATTATAATTGATAAATTAATATTTGCTGTTAATATTCCAATTTTTGGAATAAATTGACGATCTTATAGTCATTAGAAAGCTGAAGTTCCATCATCCATCATACTGAAAAATTACATATTGTTTATTATAGAGACTTTAAAGATCGCCTACAATTTAAAACATCAACTGCTTGTGTTAAAATTCTTTGATTTTTTTAAATTTGATTAATTAATAAAAATACTGAACTGATTGGAATGAAAATACCACTATTAGGATGACATTCTGCTCTGATTTATGGTTATGTGTGTTTGCTGAATTATTGTTATATATTCTTGTACTTCATATCTGACTCATATAATAAAAAACAATATAATTATTTACTGATTTATATTAAATA